TTCAATTTGTCGGACCACCCACCAAATACATTATCAAATGGAGTTTTCCTCAAGATAGTGTTGCTGGACTAGTTTTTTAAACGTGTACTTATTCGATGCTTTTCTTATATCAACAGATAAGGCGTTTAAGAGAAATATTACCTGAACTGTAAAAGAAAACTTAAAGAAAACAGTACTATGCTGAGGTAAATCAATCTTAAGGATGCTTTATGTGCTGTTAAAGAACATTAAGCCTTAGGTGGCATCCGTTTCTCTTTGGTTAACAAAGAGTAGCAATTGCGACAATGAAATAAAGAGGAAAAAATAATAACCATCTTGAAAACATCTGTGTTGCAGAGAGAAAAAAACGCTAAAATTGAAGGCAATACCCGTGTATAATAAGCTATCCAGTATTCTCAGCACAGAAACATTGTTGGAACGAGTATTCTCCTTTGGACGAACTAACGAGTAGTACTAATTAGTAGCGGTGGCCGACTCAAAGGAAGCACGGTGGAAGTTGACAAGTAATAAGATCTCGGCGTGCATCGTCTGTGCCGGACAGATTCGCGGATTAGTTATGAGTCTCTTTATCCTTTTGCGAGTCTCGCTTTGAGTGTGGTAAACAACAGACTTTTTGAAAGAGCAGTTCCATTATCTTGCAAATGAAAAACCATTGAATTAATTGCGTAGTCTGAAATAATACTCGGTCGAGATAGTAAGGCGTTACAGAACCATAATAGTCATTTTTAGAAATCGTTTAGAACACGAATATAATGTAATACCTAACTTTCAAAGTGCTGTTGCTTAATATTTACATCAAGTTTTTCAGAAATAATTTGAGAAAGGTATATCATAATCTTCAACATTAGTGTCACTTGAAAATGCTGCAAACACAGCCAATTATTTTAACCGTAAGGCTGGCTATGTTTTCACCAGAGCTGTGAAGGTAGCATTCGCGGTGCGTCGATCGATGTTGTATCAGTGATAACACATGATAATTTATTTCTAAATAACCTGCAAATGCCTCTATATTTTCAGACTTTAATTTAATTTTAACTACGTATTTAGGTACCATATTATCTTGACAACAAATATCGACTAATAATATCAACGTAAACACATCAAATAAGGTTGCGATCAGTTTGAAAAACGAAATATTTTTTGTTAAGGTGGACTATATTATAATTTATTCTTCTTTTAAGATCCTTTACTTAACAATATAGAATTAGAATATAAAACATTAAAATTCAATTGTTTTCCATATGAAAACGAATTCAATCCAAGCTTACGCTCATTCAGAAATATGACTTACAATCAACACTCAACGCCACTACAATAAAAGCAGAAGTGCGGGCTGCCTCTGGATTTGAAATTTACGCTCAGACCATTCGGAATTGCTTACACCAGGCTGGACTACGAGCACGGAGGTCTTGGCGAGTACCTCTTAATTCATGTCAACGTCAACTACGGAGATTGCAGTGGGCTAGGCTCCGGCAAAAATGAGTTGGAAAGCATTTGGCAAAACTGTCTCTTCATTGACGAATCGCAAATCAGTACTCATTCAGATAACTGACGTATCCGTGTCTGAAATGCAACGAACTGCCTTTGGAACGTGGGGTGGAATTATGATTAGAACTAGAACGTCTTTGATTCCATATCGAGGCTCCATGACGGCAGATAGGTACAAAGCACAAACTAATAAGAGTCAAAGGGATCGCTATTGATAGAATGTTAAGACCATTTAGGGTAAACCATGGGCAACAATTTGTACTGTTCGATGATAATGCACCCGCACATTGAGCTTAACGAGTCAATACTGCTCTCCGAGAATACGCAAGTTTAGACTGGCCTGCCGGCTTGCCTGACTTTAACCCAATAGAGCACGCGTGGGATGCTCTTAAGCGAGCTTTTTGGAACCGTCAGCCACCTCCCTAAACTGTGCCAGAGATCAAAGAAGCCACTATTTAAGAATAGGACGTGTTACCGCAAGAAATGGTGGATAACTTGATCCTCAGCATACCCAGGAGGATCAACACTGTGTTCCAGCCACAGGGACGAGTTATATTGTATTAAATAAAAACCTTCTATAAATAATTTTTGTATAAGTTTGGTTAAGAAATCTGTTTATTTCCATCAAAATTCTTTTATAATTACAATAGGATTGAATAACTTTATTTTTGTTATTAAAAAAACAAAAAATGGTTTTTATTTTTTAATTTCAAACAGTGTATTTCTATTCAAAAATGATATAACGTACACTCTTTTGCTTCATATAGTTATATTTTAAAAATATATCAGTTTTTGATAGTGATAACAAACTTTTTTGATGTGTACATATGTACATATGTAACTCTACTCTTAACGGAATTGTCCCAAGAACACTGGCTACGTTTCCTTTTACCTTTGAATGATGGTCAAAGCTTTGAAAGATAAATTATAATAACTTAATAAAGGTCTTTATGATGGTCAAAGCATTTTAATAACTACTAAAACTTGCTGCCTTGTGCCTTTCATAGTAGAAATTTATATTTTAAAAATTGTTATTCACGAATGAAACGACTGCCTCGAAACGAAACTTTTTCCCGTCGTATCGTGTCCGATCCCGGCATTAAAAATCTTGTCAATCGTACTTCAAATCATTTTGATTACATGGTCTTATTGGCTGATGAAAAACGTACGAATATTAATCTCGTTGTGACGCTGTTTGTAAAACGAGATTGCAATAAATATATGTACAGACTAAAACCGCATTTGAAAATGAATTTTGAAATTGGACGGACTGTTTTAATTACAACTCAACCGCTAGCCTTATTTCATAGTTCAAAAGCAATATTTACACGAGATTGAAACGCAGGGGCGAGTGTTTGAACTAGCATCGGTGGTTTGTACTGTAATTAATTCGGTTCGGTTTTATATATGTGAGCATTAAAATTGGGTGGCTCCCGGGGATCGCTGCAACAAAAAAGTGTCTTTGTGTCCAATCAAAATAAGCGCTTGGTTTCCAAAGGTTGATACAATTTCACTACGGGAGGTCCATGTGAAGCGACCATCTACAATAGTCTGTGCAAATACGGATGTAGGTAAGAGGACACGTAAGAGCTTTTATCGGATCAGACAGCTTAAACGGGCCGAGCGCCGCCATTTACGATTCTGTAAGCTGAAAGGGAGGTTATTAATAGAGTAACTTGGGTAATATGGCACATCATAAGCTTTTTTAGAAATAAATTACGAGATTTATGAGATCAAATAGTGTTTATTGGTTAAAATGGTTCTTTGAACTTAACAGTAATCAACAATTATAATTTTAAGATTAATAACATCGAAACATAATTTTAATAAACATTTTTTTTGTAACTTAAGGAATCATTAAAATTCAAACATGGTAGGTCAATATGGCCTAGAGCCATATTGGCCACAATTGAAGTGAGCCATATTGTCCACCATAACAAATGAAATCAAAAACCAAAAGAAATAAACTTTGCATTACTTTGCGGAACAAAATTCGCAGAAGAAAACATCCGTTTCCACACCTGAGCATTCTTCGTGAGCCCATAATTTACAACAAAGACATTGAATCCATGGTTCGCCTCTGTTATCCATAGAATAAAGACCTTTGCAATACAGACACTTTGCATCAGAAACATTGCTCCTATCAGGACTTTCGTCAGAACTGTCGTCGTACAAAGATTCATTTTCTTCCTCCGAGCTGGAGATTTGTACCTCCTTAGATTTTGACTTTGTCTTTTTATCCTTGCCTTTTCCTTTTTTGACTTTATTCATAGTCTTTTCGATTTGGTCTTGTTTCTTTTTTAATGAGTTTAGCAATTCCTTTTTGTATGGTGATGAAATAAGCAATGTCGACTTTGCAGATCTTCTGCTATTTGTGTGCTATTTCTGGTATCGGAGATAATTGGAATGGCGTTATAAAGTTATTTTCTATTATAGTTGATTTTTTTTAGTTCGATACAGTTTTTTGTTAATTTAGTTGATTTCCAGGTGGAGTTTTGTTCTGGTTTCTTAAAGCCGAGGAAGCATCATTAGCTGTTGCATTACTCATATCAGGTGTTACGTCAAAAAATTCATTTTCTATTGCGGGAGTAGACGAAGTAGTTGGTTCTAGTGTGATATTTTCTTGATTGGAGATTCTACATTCTTGGTCATTCATATCTATAAAATCATGATCTTTAAAAACATTTCTGTCTATCGGATATAGTTATATAGTAGGATATAGACCTGTTGCACGAAAACTACTGACAGCTATCTCACCGCTTTGAGTGCGTAGATACGCGCGTCCAAATACTTCCATAATGTCATATTGCGTTAGAGGGCGTGAATTGTTCCTCACCCATGACCTTATTTCATCAGAAACATATTTTTTAGTGAACCCATGAATGATTTATCTAAAGGTTGTATTTTGTGACTGGAATGTGGAGGAATTGATAGATATGTGTGCACTTACACATGATTTTTTCTTGCGAGATTTATCAATTCAATTTGATATAAAATTCAAAGGTTTCTGGTGTGACTGGTATGGCTATCTAAAATAAGCAATACTGGCGATTCTTCTGAGGGTTTCACGTGTTGAATAAAATGTTGAAACCACTTTGTAAATAAGTTGGTTTAAATCCAACCAGAAGGGTGGCATTCATGTATGGTTCCAGGAGGTGCACCTTTCATTAAAAGTGGGTGACTTCTTTTCCTGGGGAATATAATCATGGGTGGAACAAATGAACCTCCAGCGCTCATACTTATCACGCAAGTTATTAAAGACCCCCTTTCAGCTGATGTTAAACAACCTATTTGCCGTTTTCCCTTTTGACTTAGGACTTGGAGCATTTGGGATGGAACAACACTGATGCCGGTCTCATCCACGTTGAAAATTTTTTCTGAAGGGAATTTGTAGTTATCCATCAATTTTTCATAGAGATCAAAGAAATGGTTCACACTTTCTTTATTAAATCCCTTAGCTCTAGCAAAAGAAGTTCCTGTTGGACGGCGAAAAGAAAGTTCTGGATATCTTTCTAAAAATGACTTAAGCCAATCTTTACCCGCGCTTTCATTTTTGCCGAAAAGTTATGGGTGATATTATTTTTTATTCCCAGCTGATAGGCTAAACTCATAACATCCTTTTGGACTAAGCCGAACAACTTAGCTTCCATTGTCAAAACGTATTGCACTAACTGTTTCTCTAGTTCTTGTGGCAATGTTGCTTTTCTTTCCAGTTTCGTACAAGTCGCTTCTTCAGCTGATAGATCTACTTTAGCTGCCAAACGTCTTAAAGTTGTTCGAGGTACTTTGTACAGTTTGGAAGCTTTTAGTGAGCCCATTTTCTTATTTCGTAAATCTTCGATGGCTTTTTTCATTGACTCTTTGCACCAAGTTTGCCGTTGTCTTTGTAAAATTGGTTTTCGTGGAGCCATTTTCCTAAAAAAAAATAACTTGTAGAAACATTTCATTACACGCGGCCAATATGGCCTAGTAGTTAATATTGGCCACCTGCCTGGTGAGCCATAATGGCCGCAGGCACGTTTTTGATTTAAGAAAATCTAACCTAAAAAGTAGTGAATAATGTGTGTATACACTAATAGTTAACCTATAACATTGTGCTTTATTAATACAAAAACAAAGATTATTTGACGAAATAGAGTGAGTAAAACTTACCAAAAAATTAAATCAAATTCGATGATTTTCGTTCGTCACACACTCTGGACACACGCGCACTCGCTGCAATGCAGGGATCGACTGAGGGGTCAAGGGAAGGGCCGCGACAATAAGGCAGATAAGAACGCCGCTAGTGTTCTTTAGTTTCGGAGAAAATAATAAAGACCATATTGGCCTATTTCAAAACTATTTTACACAGAGTATGTACCAGTAAGCCTTGAAATATTTTCGTAAAATTAATATAAATTCTATGTTCTTCTCTCAGACTAATATCCATATAATGTGTCACCCATGGCCGTGGTTTTATTCGGTGTGTTCTCACTGTCGGCAACTACTCATTTCGTTGATTAATGATCAATTATTTTTATTTTTTTAATAAAACTATAGAATCGATTTTGATGAAAACTTATGTTGTGTTCATTATGTAATTACGGGTCGAATAACATTGGTTTGTAGTCGACTTTTTACGAAATATGTGGATCAAATAGTTCAGTAATATTACATAACATACATACACAGTGTGTATATTTTTCATTTTTCATTTTCGTTAAAATAGTAAAATCAAAGTCTAGGTACCTAGAGTCGTATAGGATGTATATAAAAATTTAGAATTCAGAATATTGGACACATTGTAACAACTTCGAAAATAAGTAATATTGATTTTTAAAACTTCATTACTGTAAAAAAGGTAATTTTATTTTTCCAATATTAAGTAAATTTTGTGATTTCTTTAGTGTTATTTTTATTGAATCTATTTTTGCACCGTTTCAAAATTAGACATCTTAAGCCTGGGTTTAATATTTAAAAAAAACTCCTTTTCCGTTATGTTACGGCGTCCCTAGTTTTACTTTAATCAGTTTTAAGTTGCCGAATGAATTCTTATCGAAAAGGTTTATCAAGCACTGGATATAAAATAAAAAAACCATGGAAAACGACGCGTTTTGAAATATAAATAAAAAATGGTCTTCAGACCGAATTTCGGTCAGCGCGACCAGCCTTCAATGGAGACTAGCCATCTGCGCCACGACGACGACCACGATGGAAACCGTATTGGCGGTTACTGATCAGCTGGTGATCCTCAAGGTACCTCATGAGCTGGTAGCTTACAATAGATTCCACTATTTCGGAGAACGAGGAGGTGATGGCGATAGGCCTGTAGTTGGACGGGTCTGAGCGGTCGCCATCTCTAAGGGATCGGGTGCACCAAAGCTGTCTTCCAAGAATTTGGGACTACGCCTTGGGAGTAGGAGTACCGGAAAAGACGCGTTAAAACCGATGCCAACTCCGGAGCATACGTATTCAGCACAATGGGAGGGACTCCATCAGGCCCACTCCATTTGCTGACGTCCAGGGAGAAGAGTGCTTTGTGAACTGAGCGCTGTCTAAACCGCACATCCGGCATGGAGCACTCACACCGCAGGATGGTCTGCGGTGTATTCCCCCCATCATCGAGAGTCGAGTTGGACGCTAGAATTATAGTCTCCAAATGTATGCGCAAACACACTCTCTATTCCCTCACTCTCATAGTCCGACGGGATGGTAATTCGACACGACCGGAAAGAGATCAGGGGCAGGACCAACTGTTTATGTGCTTTCCGAGGCACAAGGGTGAAACACTGCCAACTTTCTAACTCTAGGCTGCTAGAGAATTTTTTTACAGAAAAACCCAATTACTGATTTTGGACCGATTGGGACCTTATGATCAGAAATTGCATTTACGAATACTGGACCAAGAGGCAAATTAAATATAAGAATCGGATTTTAGTCTTTGTGTGGTACTATCATAGATACTTAAGGGATGAGTAGAGAATCAATCAAGCATGTGACACAAAAGCCGAAAAGCGATGAGTGTAATCATAAAACTATACCAACGTTGCGTGTAGTTACTTAAGTATACATCAAATACGTATAGTAATATTGTTCCTCTGCCCGCATGTTAACACCGTTCACTTGGCTATCAGAAATAAATGATAATGTGACATTTGCTGATTAATTGAGATGTGTTTTATCTTTATTGATCTAATTATGAGACCGGCTGTGAACTAGGTTATGCGATAATCCTTTGGCTTATATCGTCTGCTTTTGTAACCTTATTTTCTATTTAAAAATTATCCCAGATTTATCTTGTATAATGTACATATTTTAAATAAATAATTAGTCCTAGAACAATTACTTGTAAGCAATACGGATAGGTTACACGTTGGAATCCGTTATTAATATCATGTTTAATAGGACTCGTTCGTTTCGGGTTCGTCCCCCGTCAACATCAATGAAATTGTTAATTGCGTTTTAAAGTACTGAGTTTTAAAGTACTTATAACGTGCTCAGCAGTCAAGAAAAACATTATGCATGTCTGAGAATTAAAGAAAAGTTTGAAGATATGAGTAGTCTGCATAGTGGCGCACTTTTCATTAGTCTTAAACCCATTTTAGAAAAGAAGAGGCTGGTGTTCGCCAGGCAGACTTGTACAGTGAGACGTATAAAGTCCGTAACTTAAGAAATGCAATAATGTATGATATAATACTTATTTGACCTTAAATACGGTTTATGGAACCCTGATTCTGAATTAGGGTGAGTGATTGTGTAATAAGAGTAAAGTGTGGTTTGTAAGCAGATGTTGTGACTAGGATTAAGAAACGAATGCTTCGGTGTTTTGGATACGTATAAAAATGAATGTGATAAATCAAATTTATGCTACAAAAGTGAGTAACAGAGTCATCAAGGGACGCCCTAAACGGAAGTTATCGACCAAATTGATGAAAGATGGGCCAAATTAAGAGTATCGTTAACTGACAAGCTTGTATGTAGGTATATGGATGTAAAAGAAGCGAAAAAAGTATGTCAGGAACATGCCAAATGAAAGTCTGTAATCTCTGCTTACCCCTATAGATAATAGGCGGCGGAAAATACGCTGTCTCATTTAGATATTATTATAGTTATGAGTCACGTTAATATTCTTAACGTAATATTTTTGATATTGAGAAAATTAAATTCTATTGACATGTCTGACGCCGAACGACGATGGCAGCTTTCCAATAAGTCAAGCGAGCCGCTGTGTTCGCCCTTACCATTGATGAAATTCGTAATCATTTTAAATTTTCCTTCTATTTACATTTCGTGCTATACTCTAGCTTAATATCTGCTACTTAGATTTTAAACTTTTCGGATTAGTGAAATATTTCATACGTCCGAGAAAATTATATAGGGTTGGACAACCACGCATTTAAATTGGTATCCCACATCAGCGACATGAACATCAAAGAAGTGATTATCATATACGAACGAAAATCGATTATGAAGCGTTTAGTGTTTTACGTATTAAAAGGATTTCTGTACTGCAAGAAAATTGAAGAATGGGTTTTTGCGATCTGTTGCTATCGCTATGTGCTAACGATTAAACGAGAGTAGAGAGAGCTGCATCTTGAACTGATTATACCTATGAAAAATTTACGAAAACAATATTCCGTATTTTCCTATTTCCTCATTCAAAACAGGACCGACATTTTTTTTTCAAGAAAAATAATAGAGGGATTGTTAATTTGAGATAATACACAAGGTCAAGACTGTGTTTCAGACTTATCAATTATCGCAATTAAAAAACAGTTATTGGTACAATTAAAACGTTCACCAACATTTTACGTGGACGTAATTAAATCTTTCCTTAAGAAAGCGAGACGATTCCACTTATCTTATCTTATCTCTTATCCATTAGAATGTAAATAATTTGTGTTTTTTTTTAATTTTGTACTTTCTTCATGTTTTACTTTTGTTCATGTATTGTATTGGATGTAAATATTTTTTTCTTTTGCTTAAACAAACCCAAACGGCTTTCTTCAAAGCCACCGAAGCTATGCAATTGCTGATATGTAATACAATCTATCTAGCAGTGGTATGCCTTCTGTGTGCTTTGTTAAACACGTCCTTGACAGCACTGAATATGAAACTGAAGAGTGGAGACAGATCAAGATTGGTGTATTTATATAAAACTGCTAAAAACAATAATCTATATTTTTTCAATTTATATCTTGCGCTTGCCCTAGCTTGGAGCTCTAGCTTCGCTACTGCAAATCGAATATGGCAGTGTATGATTGTATGATAAAAAATATTTGCTCTTGTGTCATCATCCAAAGAAAAACAGAGAAATACGTTTCTATGGATGAAAGTTTAGCTTAATTAGATCCTGTAGTTTTAACAGTATATACATGGAGTAGTAATAAATTACCACTTTATTTTTTGTATAAATTTGCTATCGTCATTCAAATTTAAGTAGATTTAATCATCATCATCACATCACTATCATGTTTCTCATGATAATACTTAGAACGACTACATTATAAATAACTGATTCTCGCATCAGTATAAGCTCGAAAAGAATTTTATTGAAAATGTGCACGACGAAAAACTGAATAAGAGGTCGATCGGATAAATCAGGGCGGCGACGAAGAGCCTGTAGACGTTAAACTTCTTCGCACTGAGCTCCCTGGATATAATTTACTGGATATTTTGTGAAAAGTGACTTTAATGTTTGAACGGGAAATATTTCATCTGATAGATCAATTGTATATATGTATATATCACCTGATAGTAAGTGGATGCTGTGGTAGATGAGAATTTACATCTATTCTCGATTAAGAATGCAGCTGTGTTAACTCCCCTAAAGACTAAAATGGAATACCTCGTTTCCAGTTAATATGGACCCCGGTTAACACTCGCCATACGAAACACAGCAGCATTGAGCTGTTATTCTGTGAGAGCGTGG